ACTGAAATTGTACGTTCATAACCGTAGCAACAGACCCCAGATGAGCCCAGACGCTCTGCGGCTCTTGTTGTTTAGACTAATGAATAGTATAATTGTTGGCATTTTTGTTTTTCCTTGAAATAGATTACAATTCAAATGATTTTGTTCTTCCAAACAGAGGGAACTTCATGAAATGGAGGAAAAGTTTAAAAAGGTGATGATAACGAATTCGCAGCTTGACAATGAGAAATCAACACTAATGTACAAGTTAGATCTTCTGAAGGATGACCTTGAGATGTCGGAGGAAACCAAATGCCAGTTGGAGAGAGAGCTGAAGGACAAGTGCCATGTATGTGTACTAATATCAACTTGCCATCACGTGTTGTTGCTTTTGGTTATTGTCTTTTTCATCAAGCATTATCACTGGGCGTTTTCCCGCACATGTTGTCGTCTGCTTTACAGATGAACGCGAGTCTTTACACCAAGCTGATTTTTAATCTGTTGTTTTGTTTGGTTTACAATGCAGGAATGTGACTTCCAGAAGAGAGACCTAGATGCAGCACAAAGCCAGGCAAAGAATCTCAAAGAGCAAGTTACTACACTTGTCAGGCTAATTGAGGTAAAATGCAAAGCTAATTAATACGAGTAATTTTTTAAGACAAATCTCAATATATTGATGTATTAAATATAGTTTTTCCAGCTAGTCTAGCTGTCTTTATCGAGCTGAATGAAGTTGCTTGGGATTCTCACCACGTGGCTGTAGGTGAAAAGCTGGAATTAAAGCAGTTGATGTTGGTAGCAGCCCTCAGGTCTGCTGGGCTAGTCCTGGGATTCAGAAGATTTTCATAGACATATAATAGGACATTTTGTATAATTCGCCATCCCTATTAACATTGTCTGCACGTTTGTGAATTTGTCACACACACACAGTGTCAGAGAAGTGCTTGTTTATTTTGGAAAATCTATGGTGTGGTAGAGTTTATATAAAGGCATGCACTATTTGTTGTTGCAATTTTTTGTTCAGTTATGGTTTCAGAGTTTTTATTTCGGGTCATTTTTTTATCCCTGATCTTTGTGAATCAATTCACAGTTGTTATACATTAAAGGTGTGAAAATATGTGTGATCTTATAATAGCATTTGCTGTTGCAGGAGCAAGGCCTTTGCATACTAGGAGCCGGTGATTCTCTACAGCTGGTGGAGATTGAGCACAACCTCACTGAGGACGCGAAGCCTGTGGCTCTCCTGACGCAGGAATCAGCACAACTGCTACACCTGACTGGTGAAGGCTCGTTAGGTATTATCACTTTGTTAACTAATAATGGTTGGGATTTTGCAACAGGTTAATAGAGCCTTGTGGTCTGCATACTACTAATACTTTAAAAAATGAAACTTTCTGCTGTTCAGTAACTTTACTCTTTGTTATGTCGTTTATGTCTAGCTATTTTCATGTGTTTGTTAAAAACCTATTGCTAACTTTTCTATAAATGGTGCTTTTGTGGCTTCAATATTTGACTAAAATTGTTCACATAGCTAGCATTTGTTTTGCTTATGTAGCCATTAATTGAGGCTGCGTTATTACTATTCTCTTGATAAAGGTATTGTCTAAAGCTACAATAGTGAACATGTAAGTTTTCTGCAGATGTCAGACTTAAAAAATTTGCCGAGGAGAAGAAGGACTTAGAAGATAGAGTGCGCCGCCTGAAAATGCAACTGGAAGAAGAGAGACAGCGTAGCGATGATGCTATGACGAAAATACGCAGTGCTGCTGCCTCCCAGAATGGTCCTGAAGATGAGAGAGAAAAACGTACTAATATATACGTGTGATCATATTAACGTATTCGACTAAAGTTGTTGGGAGTGGTTTCACTGATACGGAAGTGTGCCAGGTACACATATAGTATTTAGAGTTTAGTGAGGCTTCTTGGTACGAGGTGAGCCATGTTCTTCCACGGAACCCTATTGAAGTTACTCGTATAACTTTATCTACGTGGGTATTAATCGACATTTCTCTGTAGGTGAATCGAGCAGAGAAGGAAGTGACTTTAGGATAAAGCTAATGAAAGCTGAACAAGAAATTGCTGCCTTACAATCTAGTGTAAGTAATATAGAGTATAAATATAAGTGAAAAATACATACATACAATAAGATACATGTCATTATTTTGCTGTTGTTTTGTTGCCTGGGTGACCACAACTGACTGTAGCACTCATAGTGACTACATCTATAGAAATTATTGTTTTGCTCGCGATTGTGACTGCAATGAAGTTGATGCTGCTGGTGGTGCTGAAGTTGATGCTGCTGGTGGTGCTGAAGTTGATGCTGCTGGTGGTGCTGAAGTTGATGCTGCTGGTGGTGCT